ATTTCTTCACAGTCATCCTCCAAATCTATATTATCATTAATTGGCTTTAAAAGCTCCACTCCATCTTCAGGAGGTGAAGTATTTATAAATATAACTTGTCGAATATGCCTTTTTCATAGGAAGTTTTTAAACAATATACACAGCCTCTTGAGCACTTATTTAAACATTATTCAAAACTTTGCCAATGTCTCTGACTTGCTGTTTTATACTGGAATTCTCTTCATTTGCTTCCGTACAAGCCTATTGTAAAAGTTCACTCATTCCTTTTTGAGCTTTTGATATATAAGTCACCATATACACAGCACATGCATAAACATCTACAACAAACTGAAGGTCCATATTTGCTCTCCATGCACTAAGACAAGCAGGATTGTAATTGTTCATCCTCAATTCATTTGGATTTCTTTTCAAAAACGCAGTAGGTGCATTAAATGATGAGCTTATAGCTAGCGAGTAGTTTTCTTTTGCGAGACTGAGCTCAAACAGTAACTGATCAAAGAATATATCTTCGCCTTCCTTCGCATCATTTGGATGCTTTTGGATTTATTTCCTTGCATCTTTGTGACTTTTTATTTTACTTCGAGGGATATCAGTATTTAGAGGATACAAAATTTCTGTCTGTGTCCACCGTCACTTTTTGTATTCTTCCGACAACAATGAGAATATCTGTGTACTTATCTGTTGACTAGTTTAAGTGGTTCATGGTTGTCTGTTGGTCTTTGTCAACTAATTATATTATCCATATCTGATGTCACGTTTGCATCACTGTGCATAGAAAACTGTCATGTATTCTCAAGCCATATCAACATTTGAATATAAGGTGAACCTCTTGGCTGGTATTCAACAACCTAAAACCAGCCAGAAATCTTCCCTAGAGGTGCAGCATCACCTAAGAGAAACTGCGAGGAATTGACTAATTTCATAGTCAAAATGTCTGGCGCAAGTTACAGGATCACGTTGAATTAATCTAAATTTTTCTTCCCAGTTTAAACTCTCTAGTTCGTTATCAGTATATTTTTGCTGATTAACAATTTGACCAAGTATTCTAAGAAGGTGTATCCATTGTGTTTCTGCTGATGAGAAACTACAAAATGAGGAAGCTGGACCCAACTGTCTTCATTGCAAAAAGGTATCTTTTAGCTTTCCCAAAATATGGAGGTGAACCTCTTAAAGCTCTCAAAAATTTAAACCCTTCATCATAAAAGATTAAGCTATCAAATGTTCTTTGTTGTTTTAAGTTTCCTGCATTTCAGATCCTGCTATTTCCATTACATTTTCTGAGTGCAGTTTGTGACTGGCCTAAAAGGATTTTCATTTGTAACGTTTTTGTTTTGCAGAATATGTTCTCAACACACATGGCTGCTCTTCTATTTGACCCTCTAAGTTCAGATTTACAGATTTCACTGTAGTGGAGTTCAACCATATGTTTCTTATTTTCTGGTCTTCTCTGGCCAAGAAATATTCTAGGATATGCTAATTCTTCAGAATATTTGTATCTGAATACACTCAATGGCCTATCACCCTAAGCTGGTGCAACATTGAGAATATTTTGACGTTCAGTGGTTCTCAAAAGTCGGTTGATGTTAGCAGAGCATCGGTTAAACGTGTCGAATTTCTACTTCATCTTCACTCCATTCATCCTCACCATCTAGTTCTTGTGAATCTACATTAATATTGTTGCTATTTATACCAGCTGTTACTGATTGTTAATCACATGTATTGTCACTCTTATTCTCATGTTGTAAGATTTCTTCATTATAATTAATAATACAATTTTGGTTCAATACAATACCTTCATCTTTATAAAGACCAATACAACTAATAAGGCACAATGCCGCTTCAACAACCTTATGAGGTCTTACATTAAAAGACGTTGCAGAACTCTTGTACCTCAACTTTCTTTTTAAATTCACTTTTATTGTACCAGTCTCACCAAGTAACCGTGGTAACACACTGACTGTCTTAGTAACATCTGCAGGCACATTTACAATATTACCATGGATTTTGAGTTGCTATACTCCAGGGGCTTGCATTAATTTTTTTAATGCAATTCTTAGTGCTGGCAATCTACATTCTAATTCATTGAGATAAAAAGAATGTTGGTTTTTGTGGGAATACCAAACCACTGACAACAACAAATAGTGGAATTCTGTTTTTAACCAAGTTACTATGGCATATTTTACAAACCCATTCATTGTCATCAACACTTGTCATATAACCGAGATACTTGTCAATATCTGGGTTAGACTGTATTAGTTTATCAATACAAACTACACTATGATAATACTATTACAGATCACAACAGGTACAGATGTACAGTGGACCTTGAAATGCAATTCATGAAATCCAAGATTGAATATTATTTTTGCGTTTTGCTGTGTAACTTTTCATGTAGGCATTATTTTTTGCCTTTTCTTATTCAGATGCTTTGGATGCTCTTCGATTCTTCTTGTATGCTCTATGCTTTTCTTTCTCCTCTGCTGCTTTAGCTGTTCTATATTGCCTCCTACAGTGGGCTTTTTTCTCTTATTCCTGTTTGCCGTTGCTTGTTGTATCCTTTTGTGTCTTTTGTGTCTTTCTAAATTCTTTTATATAGGCATTACGCATCCTTTTTCGTTCATTTTCACTTGATTATTTTAGCATTGTTATGAAATGTTTCACTGTGTGCCTGATTTGAACTTGTTTGAGACAGAGTTGATAAAGTTTCACCTATGTGTCCTAGATACATAGAAATTGGATGGTTTATCATATTTGATGGTTCAACCGAGGTCATCTCTGAACATTTTTCATTAAATTCTGATGCGAATCCTTAAATCTATTGCATCAGCCACTGCTTGTATATCGATATAATGAGCCCATATTCCTTAACATATTGGATAACGTATTCTAACCATGACGTTTCTTCATCACTTTCTACAAATCGTTCAGGATTATCTCTTAAATATTGAATGCATCTAGCTTTAATTTTCTAAAACAGCAATCTTCTCCTCCATCAACATCTAGTGTCCTTAAACCATGCTAAATCAGTATATAGTTACACAGGGCATATGCACTATCACTACATGTATCAGCTTCAGAACCAGGCACAACTCTCAGGGATGTTATCATCAATTTTTATATCAATTGCCCCATTGCTGGGACCGTCTGCCTCCCGAAGGAGATCTCTTGTCCCATTACTGGGATTATTTGTCCCCCGAAGGAGGTCTTTTGTCCCATTGCTGGGATTATTTGTCTCCCGAAGGAGGTTTTTTGTCCCATTTCCTGGACTGTTTGTCTCCCAAAGGAGTTTCTTGTCTCATTGCTGGGATTATTTGTATCTCAAGGAGGTTTCTTGTCCCATTGCTGATCTATTTGTCTCCCGATGAGGGTTTTTTGTCCCATTTCCCGGACTGTTTGTCTCCCGAAGGAAGTTTTTTTGTCTCATTGCTGGGATTATTTGTCTCTCCGGAAGAAGGTTTTTTGTCCCATTTCTGGACTCTTTGTCTCCCGAAACAGGCTTTTTGTCCCATTTCTGGACTCTTTGTCTCCCGAAAGAGGCTTTTTGTCCCATTTCTGGGATTATTTGTCTCCCGAAGGAGGTTTTTTGTCCCATTGCTGGGACTATTTGTTTCCCGAAGGAGGTTTTTCTATCCCATTGCTGGGATTATTTGTCTCCCGAAGGAGGTTTTTTTGTCACAAATAAAAATACACAAAAACGAAAGCAGTTAGTTCTAAGGCTGGGACGAAATTTCTTTGATGTTCAGTAACTCCAAAAGTGGTTTTTAAGTGAAAACTTGAATGGTGGCTGGATATGTAACTCTTTTATCAACTTTTTCA